ATTTCAATTCTAAACTATATATTTTTCGTATTTTACTTATTATTTAGTTAATTATTACAGGAACAAACTTCTCAAAATGGTGAAAATGCTATAATAAGTGGAACACAGATTGAAAGCAATCATTGGTTAACACTAATGTATTTAAGTGTCACTGCTATTGCAACACTTATATTTTCCTTAGGGTACTACTGCATTGAGGTAAATTAATTAAGTACAATAAAAATATTTCTATTATAATATATTTTATATTATAAATATAATATAAAAAATATATATATATATTAAATATATATTAAATATAAAATAATTTAATAATAATTAATGATTGATATTAATAATAATGGTAATTAAAACTTATTTGAAATTATTTGAACAAAAATATATATGATTAAAATAGTTGCATATATATAATTTTATTAATTTTATATGTTTATAGAATATGAGGAGTGATAAACGACTGATAGCTAGAATCAACAAACTTGAAAAAGATTTACTTATTTCAGAAGCAGAATGTACAATGGTGAATGAAAATTTAAAATCAACAAAAGAAAAGGTAATATAATATAATATAATATGTATTATATTATTATTCTTTTTTATGAATTTATATTATAAGAAAATATGTTGTAGTTAAGCCGTATGGAAGATGAATCATTTGGGTCTGATGAAATGGTAATTTCTTTAAGAGCTGATTTGAAAGCTTCACAGGTAATATTTTATATTTATTTAATATTTAATATTTTGTAATGTTATTAAATTTAAATATTTGTCAACAATATATAATAATGATAATGTAATATTTTTTAATAGAATGCAAAAGCAGAATTAGAAGATCAAGTAGCTATGTTAGAGAAAGACCTAGAAAGTGCTACTGAAGCTGGATTAGAATTAGAAAAAATGTTGCGAGAAGTTCTTTCATCAAATAATGAAGTTAATCCTTTAGCTCAATCAGTAGAAGACTTACAAACCAGATTGAATGCTCAACAAGCTGCGAACGAATCTTTAACGAATGCTTTAAACCTTAAAACTCAAGAGGTAAGCATACATATTTAAATTGTGAATAATTTTTTATAAACAGAAGTATATATTTAATTGCATGTTATATTCTACATGTTTATCGCAGCTTGAATTCGATAAACTTGAGGTTCGTAATTATAGATATTTTGTAATGTTTGTATATTTATTAAAAATATTATTTTAATTTATTGAAAATATATATTTATATTTCATATATATTGTACACATTTTATTGTATTGTATATATGTAATTTTTAATACTGAATATTTTACAGAACGAATCTTTATCAACAGAGCTTGCATTTATTAAAAAAAAATATGAAGAATTTGAAGTTGAATTTACTAGAGTTACAGAAAATTTAAAATTGGAAATCAACAGTAAAAACAATGCTGAACAAACGTTGATCGATAAGATGCAACAATTAGAAATGCGACTCAAAGAAGTAAATATTAAATATATTTAAAATTATTATATAATATTATGTTTTATGTATATTATAACATTATTTATCTCTCTAAGATTTCTATTGAAAAAGGAACTTTAGAAAAAGAGTTGAAAGGTAAAGAAGTAGAAATAAAAGATCTTGTAGATGTTATTAATCGATTGAATTCTAATAACTTGGATTTAGACAAGTTATATGATGTATCACATATTAAAGCAGAGGCAAAAACATTATTTGAAGAAGAAATGAATTAAAAATACGATTAGCTGAGATTGAAGGAGTTCATAATTTATTAGAAGGTATATTTTAAAATATTATTTATAACTAAATAATTAAAAGTATATTCAAATATAATCTTTTAAATTATAGAACATGTAAAGGTCGTTAAAGAAGAAATGGCAACTTTGACTGAACAATGCAAAATAGCAGAAAAAGAAAAGAAAGATGCAGAAACACGACTCGAAGTATTGACAAATTTTTTTGAAGAAAAAGAGGCACAACGCCAAAAGTATTGAAAATTTATCTAAGGAATTAATAAAAAATATTTTTTTTATTAACTAAACAAATATATTATTAGTTAATAAAAAATATATATTTAAATTATATATATTATATATAATTATATATAAATATTATATATTATTATAGGGAAGAAGCTATTTGGTTGCAACAACAGGGTGAAGTTGTATCCACTGTAGAACGAATACAAACAATGCAAAATGAAATACAAAATTATAAGTAAGTTTTTATTATTTAAAATATTTTATATTAAAAATTATTCTATAGTTATTGTAATATTAAATTTTTGAATTACATTTAGACAACAAGTAGAAGTATTGAAACGTGAAATATTAGATCAAGAAAGAGAATATAAAAATCAAATTTCTTTGCTTGAAACAAAGGCACATGAACAATGGGTATGAATATTTTAATTATTTTTAATTATGTTAAATTATTAAATCTTTTAATATATAATATTTTATAAAAAATCTTATATGTATATATGTATATGTAAGGTTGTAGCCCGTCAAGTTGAACGTCGTTTAGAAGAATCTAAAGTTGAAGCAGGGCAATTACGTAATCGACTTACTTTAATAGAAAAGAATATAAATGATGTAGATCCTGAAGTAAAATTGCATCGTAAGTATAAAGAAAAATATTTCTTTTGATATATATTCGTTATTCAAATTTCATTTCATAATTATTTTAGATAGTGATTTTTCAACTTCAATTTAATAAGTAAAATGAAAGTATTTTAAAATGTATGTTTTATAGTTGTTATTAAATTATTTTTTTTTCTTAGTATTAGTAGAAATTATAGACATAGAAGTTGTTTTTGTTAGTTATCGAATATATAAAATATATTAGTAATTCAGTAATTATGTTATCGAAATATCGCTTTATAACAGAATTGACTGAAATATGCTGTATTTAAATATTGAACTGAAATTATGATAAAAGATATACATATATAATATAGGTCCATTTACCGCCAGTGAATCTTTTAAACTGATATTGTAGAATACTCTAATGTAGAAAATCGTCTTTTTTAACATGATTTTTAAACAGGACTGGAGGCAAATGGAGAGATGACAACGTCACCTCCATTATATCTAGGAGCAGAATCATCCAGTTCTCCTATAATGTTTTCTGGTTCTTCGGGTGTTCCGCCACCGCCACCACCTTCTTATTTACATTCACTGTTTCCACCATATTTACCACCTCCATTGCCAAATGCATCCGGTGTACCACCATATGAAGTTAGTCAACGACCACCACCATTGGGTGGTCGTTTATCTTCACCTCCACCTATGCCTTTACATCCTCCTACTTCCAATAGGTATGATAATGCTGGTTCTCCACCACCAATGTCTCCACACATACTTCCACCTTTTGATCATAGATCACCGCCTCCTCCACCTCCTCCTGCTTCAATATTACCACTACCCCTTGGAACGTCGCATTCATGGGGGGAAGAATCACTGCCGCCTCCACGCAATTCTGGCTTCCATCCAACACAACGAGAACGAGTTCGAAATCACAAAGGTTTGTGTATAAGATGACAAGCAACTGCAAGAAACTGATACACCCATTAATGGTTGATTTCATTTTCCATTGAAATGATTTTCTTGCATTTTTTTGCCATTATTATTTTCTTTTTTCTCTCTTTTGTTGTGCATGCAAGGACGCAAGCGATTCTCTAAAGTGAGACAATTTTGGAGTACTATGGAAGGAAATAATTGCAAATAAAGTGCAATATATCAGGTTGAACGTTTCAAGATTGATTTTGCTAATAATATAGAAATTTTTTCCATCGATACAGAATATGCATGAAAATTAAATTATAAAATTTTTTGATATTATATGTATATGACATATCCTGTATCGATTTTTTATTATTTTAATAATATTGTTAATATTTATTAATATTATCGTTAAAATTTTACATTCACTTAAAATATACTTATATAAAATATATTTGTGATTTGAATTTAATATTCTTATATTCTCTATTATGTACGTACAATATTAAGGTCGTCCTATTTAAAGTTTTTATTTATTTTTACATAATGATTTTCTAAATTTAATAATTTTTAACATTCTTTTCTTCATATTTGTAATTAAATAATAACAAAAAATAAGATGGTGATAAATACAATATTTTATTCACAATTTAATACTTTTCTCAGGTTCCTTACATTCTTCAGGAGAATCACTAGACAAGTCACACCATAACAGCAAAGTTTGAAACTTCTATTTTGTTATAAAATTCGTATGTGCGTTCAACTTGTCATTAGTAATTAAGATATTCATTAACGAAAAAATTCAATAAACAAATAACAGTGATGCAGAACAAAATGTTAATGCTAATAGAACGAGCATTTATTACTTCAGAAATAAAATCATGCATTTTGATATGGTATTTGTTAAATGTGATAAACATATAATTAGTTTATTATAAAAAATATATTTGTTAATCATCACTGATATTTAAAAAGAAAAAAAGAAGCAAATTGTATATACGTTTAATTATTTCTTAGGAATATATTGAAATATACAAATAGACAAAATTGTAAAAAAATTTCTTTATATAGTTATATATAATTCTTTAATCAAATCGAAAAAATTATTGTCTTTGTAAATCATTCAAACGGGAAATAAATTGTAATATGAATTTAGATTAAATATAATTGTTATATAAGATTTTAAAAAATTGAAATAAATTGTAATTTATATTATTATGTTATGTTTCATAATCTTTTACAAAGCCTACTTATTGTTTATATATACATGTTTTAAAAATTACCAAGCATTGAAAATTATACATTTATTATTCATAGTTTTCTTTTTACATTTTACAAACAATGTAGCTCCTTTGTCTACATTGATGGACCTTTTAATAAGTAATACTTACAGTATTCACATTTCAACGGAGGTCAAGGAATGCAATGATTATATTATTACTCTATAACTAATGAGTCATAATTTTATAAAAATTCGTCTTGTTCTTCGATCATCTTATATCACAATTAATGGATATGGATGGTCAACTATAAATTTGCATAAAGAAATATGCATAATAATAATGTAATAATTATTTTATGCCAAAAACACTACAAAAAATATAAAGAAAAATATAAGAACCGCGAATATTTTTATCATTAACCACCTGTTATTAGTTACAGATTGAAAATATTTTAAGATTTCTGCATGAGCTGCTTCCACATTTATTTCTGTATCTTCTATATTGGAATCTATCCTGAAAATTAATAAAAATTTTATAATAACTTTTATCAATATTTGTACAAATGCAAAATATTCATTAATATTTTTTATATCTAAAATAATGCAAAAAAAAATAGAACAAATATTAAAAGAAAAATTTTTAGTAAAATTATTGATAGCATAAAACAAAATACATATATGTATGCACATTTAATAAAAATAAAAAATTAAAAATTTTATAAATAATTAAAATATTTATACCTTTCCACCATTTCTTCTTGTTCCTTAACCATATGTGCTAATTGTTGAAAAATTCCACCAAGTTCAACAATAGTAGATTCTATACTTTGCATTGTTTCTGCTCTTGATTGAACATATGCATCCTAATAATTGAATTATTTTTAAATTTTTTATTTTTTGTTATATTTTTTATCAATGGCTTATTATTCAAAATGTATTACGTCTATCTTTTGTAAAATTGAAGTTTTTATATGGAATATAATTTTTAACTTAATTTCTTTGTGCTATATAATAATGTTTCTTTATACTAATCATTCATATTTATGAATTTATTAAAATTTTTGTTTATTAAATCTATATTATGTATTAAATTTTTTAACTATTTTATTAGAAATATTAAAAATGCACATATTGTACAATATTTGTACAATAAGCAATATTATTATAATTAAGTAATATTGTATATTGTATAATAGTATTAAGTAATATTGTTATTATGTTTATTATAAAACTTACAGTATCATCCTGAACTGCTTGCATCATTGCTGAATCCAAATTTATAACTACAGAAGAAGGAGAAGTTTCTTCTTGCAATAACAATGAACCTTGTTTTCCAGCAACACTTGGAGGTAACAAAGTAGATACAGAACCTTGAGTAAATTGTTGTCTTCTACTTTGTTCCTCTCTCATATTCTATATATTTTAAGAAGATTATAATGTATAATTAATTTCATCTTTTTTTATTTTTTTTTCTTACATACCTCTGATCTCATTTCAAGAACACTTTTAAAATGATTTGACATATTTGCCAGTTTTGATTGTAATGTCATAACAATTGAAGATGAATGTGAAGCCACATGATGACTATGAGATGCACTATATCCTTCTCGTTGTTTTTTACTAAGTTCCTGCAGCTTTCCTATTTGATGATTTAAACTTTTTAAATCTGTTTTTATAATATTTGTTAATTCCTCTATTTCCACTTGTCTATCATTAAATATCGATTTCCTTTTTGCCACTAAAACAATTAATCTGATAAGTATATCCTTTTATATATATATATATATATATATATAATTAATTATTAATATTATTATATTA